CTGGGTCACTCTTTGTTGCGGGGGCCGCCCTGTGCGTTGTAGGATGGTCAGTGCACACATACACGTGCGCACACGTCGCGGCCTGGCTCTGTCCTGTGAGAACTTGGGGAGAGGGTGCTTTTAGCTGGGAGACATGGTGTGTTTTCTAAGCCCGTCCCCCGAAGCAGCCTGGGACGCACAGAGGAAAGCACAGTGGATTTGTCTCCGGGTCTGAAGTCAGGCACTTCTGGTGCCTCATGTGGGGAGCTGTCAAAGGAGCAGCTCAGGGTCTAACCTCCCCAACCCAACTCAGGTTGGTAAGTGAGGGGACACGTCTCTGAACTGTCTGGTGTGCTAGCCTTTGTGTCCTGTTGCTGCCACATCCCCTCAGCGCCCACAGGTGACTGGAAGTGGAGCCATGTTTGTGCAAGAAAACTTGACACCACACGTTTCCCCTCCCCTCAACTTGCCAGACTAGCTTTCGTAGCCGGGAGGGTGCGTCCAGCCCCAGCCCCTCACCCCTCTGGCCTGTAAATGCCTGGTCCTCCGTACAGGTTTGTGTGGAGAAATGGAATCTCGTCAACTCCTCCCGCCTCCACCTGCCCAGGCCTTCAGCCGTGGCCTTGGAGGTGCAGAGGCTCAACGCTCTGGACCTTGAGAAGAAGATCGGGAAGTCCATTCTGGGGAAGGTACAGCGATGCCCTCCCTGCGCTAGCCCGGCGCGTCCTCTGCCAGTCACTCCCTCCCGCAGGCTGGCTGGGGGCCCTCGGCTGCGGCTTCGGCCTCACCCGTGTGTGGTCCGTGTGGCAGGTCCACCTGGCCATGGTGCGCTACCACGAGGGCGGGCGCTTCTGCGACAAGGACGAGGAGTGGGACCGGGAGTCAGCGGTCTTCCACCTGGAGCACGCGGCCGACCTGGGTGAGCTGGAGGCCATCGTGGGCCTGGGGCTCATGTACTCACAGCTGCCCCACCACATCCTGTCCGACGTCTCTCTGGAGGTGAGGGGGGCAGGGACCCAGCTGGAGGGGGGTCTCAGTCAACCCATCACCCTCCCCCTCCCTGGAGGTTTGTGCCCTAGAAATTCCCTGAGCATCCGTCTGGGGCCAGGCACTGCCGTGTTGGCTGAAACTGGTAGAACTGGCCTCTGCTCTTGGGAAATGGGTGGAAGGTGGCAGTCCCATTCCCAGGCATTTGTGACATGTTGCAATGGGAGAAACAGAAGGTACTGATGCACACAAACAGGAAGGGCCTTACCTGGGGGTCTCGAGGGGTCAGCCCAGGCTCCCTGCTGGTCAGCCCCAGCTGTGTCCCTAGTGGCGAGGACAGACCTGGCACACGTTAGATGTTCAGCATTCATTTATGAGACGAATGAATAAAGCGATGCCTAAGTTAGCCTGAAAGCTGATGGAGCCAGCCAGGCAGAGTGTGGGAGGGGCAGTGTGGGCAGAGGGAGCCGCGTGAGCCCAGGCCCAGAGCAGACAGACAAGGCGGGGTCAGAGGACAGGCAGTGATCAGTGCGGCTCAGCGTGGGCGTGAGGAGATAGTGCAGGAGATGAGGCTGGAGAGTGGGCCCCGGCAGGACCTGGGTGTGACTGGACATCCGTGAGGATGTCTCCTCTCTCTGCACTTCCCTGGTCTATGGGCACAGGGAACAGGACCTGACAGGGCCTAGGGAGTGCGATCTTTTCCTTGGAGAAGTTGAGAGGCCCTCGGTGTGCATATGCTCCCAGCATATCTGTCCCATCCTTCCTGTCACGTGGGCCAGGGTTGTGGCTGGATGAGGCTGGGCCTGGTGTGGACACAGGGGACCAGCCCTCCTCTGTGGGCCATGTCCATGGCCCAGCAGGTCAGGGATCTCAGACTGGAGGAGGGTGTGGGAAGGCACCTGAAAGTGCTTTACTTATTTAATTTTTAGAGCAGTTTTGGAGAGGGTGTAGCTCAATGTTTGAGTGCATGCCTAGCAAGGACAAGGTCCTGGGTTCAATCCCCAGTCCCTCCACTTAAATAAATAAATGCAACCTAACTACCTCCCCCTCCCCACCAGAAAGGTATCCAGTGCTGTATGTCAATTACATCTCAAAGAAGAAAAAAATTTATTTTTTATTTTTTAATAAAATAAAATGGGTACTACATTCACATGATTTAAAAAAAATTTTTTTTGACTTTATTATATTTGGGGGTGGGTAATTAGGTTTATTTATTTATTTAACTTTTTTAACAGAGGTACTGGGGATTGAACCCAAAACCTCATGTATGCTAAGCGTGTGGCTCTACCACTGAGCTATACCCTCACCCCTAATTTTTTAATTATGAAAAGATTTATAGTGAAAAATCTCCCTCCCACCTTCCCCTCCATCTTCTCATTCTCCCCATAACAAGTGACCATTATTATTAATTTCTTACATATAATTCCAGAGTGTGTTTGTTTCTTAGGACTGCCGTGAGAAGTCACCACAAACTGGGTGGCATAAAACAACAGAAATTTATTCTCGCACAGTTCCAGAGGCTAGAAGTCCAAAATCAAGGTGTCAGCAGCGCTGTGCTTTTGTGGCTTCTGGTGGTTATGGGCAGTATTGGGGGCTCCTGGCTCATGGGTACATCACTCCAACCTCTGCTTCCATCTTCACATGGCCTCCCCTCTCTGTGTCTGTGTCTCTGTGTCTCTTCTCTTAAAAAGACAGCGTTCTATGGGATTGAGGGCCCCTCTACTCCAGTATGACCTCATCTTACCTAATGACATCTACAAAGGTCACATTGTGAGGTTCTGAGTGGACATAAGTTTGGGGAGGACACTATTCAACCCAGTGCACGGAGTTTCCTTATGCCAATGCAGAGTATAGGTTCTTTTTTTTTTCCATCTTTTTATTGTTTATTTCCAATTTTAACACAGAGTATAGGTTCTTATGTTCACCCTCTTTTTTTTGCCCAAAGTTAGCATGTCACACACACTCATGGGAACCTTGCTTTTCTCACTTGACCGCCTCCTGCTGCCCTTTTCCCTCAGTGGTGTAGAGGCAGCTTCCTCTTTCTTTTCAGCAGCTGTGTAATGTTCCATTGCACGTGTACAACACACTTTATTTAACCTGTGCCCTATCAATGGACACTCGGATTGGTTTCTGTCTTTTGATATCTCAAAACTTGCTGCAGTGGCTAGACTTGTGCATATTTTTGTAGGTCACGAAAGGTAGAATGTTGGCAGTTCCGTACAGCTCAGTCAAATGCATCGTTTGGCATGTGGTCAGGGCTGACAGCCATTCTTATTTCATGTTTCAGATGGTGAAGGGCAGGCTTGGTCAGGGGAGGGGATTTTGACAGGCTAATGATTTCTTGCTGTTTCTCTAGTCTCCATGCACTTTGAGGGCTGGACCAAATATATCTCTTGTAGCCAGTGATGTGCTGGGAAATTCTTAACAACGGGTTCTTGTGGATGGGGAGGGAATGCATACACATATATGTATGTAAGTTTATTATCCATTTCCTGACCTAAGGAATGCAGAGAATAGTTTACAAACAACAATAAAAATACTCTCTGTTGTGAATTCCATATACTCAGTTCATCCTCTTGGAATTCTTTCCCTAATTTTTGTGGAACTCCTGTCTAGAGCTCACCCCTGGTTATAACTGATAGAAGAGTGAAGTTGACACAAATACTGGTTGAGGCTTTGACTTTAGTGAGTTAAGACGCAAGTGAGATAAGCAAGACCTTTGTCAGAGACAGAACTTCATTTATTTGCCGCTCATGAGAGCAGCAGCTTTGCTGAATTAGATAATAGTTTTAAACACTGAAGAATGTTTCTCCAGGTTCCTGTGCTGGTCACAATGGCTATGGACACGACATACTTTTAAATCAATCTGCATTACTAATATTTTCGCCATCTCTTTTTTTCAGCTAAGACATTCAAAAAGACAATCCATCAAACCTTGATCGGTAGCATTTTTCACTTTCTGTGGTGTATGTGGCCAGTGTCCGGGTACGGATGTGAACGTGGAGGGTGGGAGGAGACATACAGAAGCACCAGTAAAAGGCATTTCCACCATGCGGATTCCATAGACCAGTGGTTCTCAGCCAGTCATTTTGCCCCCCTCCTTCTCTAGGGGACACTTGGCAATGTCTGGAGACACTTCTGGTTGTTACAACTCTGGGAGTGCAACTGGCATGTGGTGGCTAGAGGCCAAGGATTCTGCCAAACCTCCTACAACGCACAGGACGCCCCGCAGGGTCATCTGCTCTACAGTGTCAGTAGCACCGAGGTCGAGAAGCCCTGTTAATGGATACAAATAACCTTAAGAGCATAGATAACAGTAAAACACAGGAAAGTAATTTAGAAAGTGATGAGCTTTGGGTGTTTGTTACCTTTCATTTAATTAATTGTAAGTTTACATCATTTAATTTTTAGTAATGGCTGTGTTTTACAGCCTGCTTGCCAGATTCCTAAAAACGTGACAGTCAGTTTTCACAAGCCCATAGAGCTGGCTCCAGCATCCCCAACCGCATGCGGCCTGTTCCCCCAGCATCGGCCACAGAGCCTGGCACAGAGGGGACACGCAGAAGAGTCTGAGGCCTGAATAAAGGATTGCTGGGCCCAGGGTGAGTGGTGAAGGGCCAGGACTAGGGCAGGTCCCTTGCCTCTGAGACTCCCTGGTAACACTCCTTGTGATCTCAGGCCATTTACACCAGCCACACCCTAGCACCTTTGTACAGGGATTGAGAAGCTTTTTCAGTTTCCTCATCTGCAGGCATCCCAAAGGCTTTTCTCTCCAGGACGGACTTTGGCAGCAAGGAAAACCATGGCCACATGTCCTGAGAGGCCTCTGGCCCATCTCGCACTTTCCCCAAAGCCTGCCATTCTTTGGGCGTTTTTCTGCTATGTTGCGAAGACATTCATTCATCCAGCACACGCACTCTGGGCTCTGTTCTAGGTTCTTATTCACGATAGCAAACTTTTCAGGCAGGGAAAGACATAATACAGCTAATAATTAACAAATGAAAATATTTTCAACAGAAGGAAAAATAACTAACCATGTTTATTGAGCACTTCCTGTGCCAAGCATTGTTCTAAAGTGCTGGGTGGAAGACATGACAGGGAGTGAGATCGAGAGTGACTGGCTAGGCCTCTTGTTATTAGAACAGCTTCCGGCTGCAAGGGAGGCTGGGAAGTGTAGTTTTCAGCTGATCAGCCATGTGCCAGCAAAAATGGATGGCGGGGTGGGGAGAATGGATATGGGGGACAACTGGTAGTCCCGGCCACAATTCTTGAAGCGTGGAGGGTGGGAGACTGATGCGAGCGCTTTGGACTTGTCTCCGAGTGATACAGGAAGTCTTGGAGCAGCTTTGAGAGAGTAATGTGGCCTGACTTGGGCTTTAAAAGCATCTCTCTGGGTGGATCTCAGGGAAGCAGAATGGAAGCAGGTGGGAATGTGTAGTGATGCAGCCGCCATGAGAAACAGCCTCTCAAAAGGCTAAACATAGGGCTACATATGATCCAGCAATTCCACTCCTAGGTGTATGTACCCAAGAGAATAAAAACATACATCCACAGAAAACCTTGTACACAGATGTTCACTGCAGTATTGTTCATGAAAGCCCAAAAGCGGAAGCAACCCAAATGACATCCCCTGAGAGTGATGAACACATAAATAAAATGTGCATCTATTTTGTACATCCATGCAAGGAAGGGTTATTTGGCCACAGAAGGAATGAAACACTGATAGGTCCTATAACATGAATGAACCATGTGAAATGATGCTATGTGAAAAAAGCCGGTCACAATAGGCCACATGTTGTATGGTTACATTTACATGAAGTGTCCAGAATAGGGAAATCTCTAGAAACAGAAGATAGATTAATGGTTGCCTAAGGCTGGATGGGATGGAGCGATTGGGAGATAATAGTTAACAGTGTTTTGGTTACTTTTTGGCTTGATGAGAATATTCTGAAATCGGTTGTGGTGGTGGTTGCACAATCTGTGAACATATAAAAACTGGAACTGTATACTTTAAATGGGCGAATGGTATGGGATGTGAATTATATCTCAATAGAGCTGTTAGAACTTTTAAAGAGACTGGGAGCAGGGAGCCCCGTTGGAGGTGAGAGATGATGTGGCCTCTGGAGGAATCAGCAGGTAGAGGAGACTGAGCAGGAGTGAGCTAAGCTTCCTTTTCTCCCTGCCTGATGGGAAGCCCGGAGGAGCTCTGTAAGCCCCGCTCTCTCAAGGTGTGCAGTTCTACAGCAGCCCTAGCCCTGAGCTCTCAGAAGAATTCAAGAAACTGGGGAAAGGTTGATAGTGAGGTTCTGGCAGCCCCTCCCGTGTAAGCCTCATTTCCTTTTCTTTCCCCCTTTTTGGTTTGTATTCACAGGAGACGGAAGAGAATAAAACCAAAGGATTTGATTACTTACTAAAAGCAGCTGAAGCTGGGGACAGACAGTCCATGATCCTGGTGGCACGAGCTTTTGACACCGGCCAGAACCTCAGTCCAGAGAGGTACTGTGGCTGTCGCTCAGGTGGAGCTGGGCGGAACCTGGGCTGCGGGCGGGAGCTGACCCTCCACTGTCAGTACAAACCTGGGTCCCAGGTGTGGCTCCCCTGGGGATTAGTCCAGTGACCAGAGGCAGGTAGTTTTACCTCCCTGGCCTCAGTTTCTTCCCTGTGTAAAATGGGAATAATTATAGAACCTGCATCCTAGGGTAGTTGTGTGAGAGTTGAATGAGATGATGCATGTGATCCTCACTGTGTCAGGCTCATAAAGCCTGAGATAAATGGCATCTTAGTCATTTTATGTAAGGATTTGCCTGAGAAAGAGTCTGAAAGGATATGCAGCATCAGGTCCAGGGTGGTTTCCCTACAGGTAAGGGTTCGGGGTGATTTTAATTGACTCTCTCTAGTTTGTTTGTTTGTTTGTTTGTTTGTTCATTTGTTGGGGAGGGTAGGTAATTAAGTCTACCCATTTATTATTTTTTTATTTAATGGAGGTACTGGGGATCGAACCTGTGACCTTGTGCATGCTAAGCATGTGCTCTGAGCTATACCCACCCCAACTCTCCCTACTTTATACTTTCACTATTTTCCATTTCCCTCCTCTGTAGGTCAAGGTTTCATGTCCCTCTCACTGGGTTTAGAAGGAAAGTCAGGACCATGGCTCTGTCATAGCAAACTCTCAGGGTCTCAAACGTGTAGATACATGGCATCCTGCCTGTATTCTGTATCGTGCAAACATTTATCAGATACCTGCTGTGTAACAACAATGCTCCCTTCAATTTGGATGACACTTTCATATCTGTGATTTTATTTCAGTGAGAACAAGAATCACGTCTCCTGAATCTCCTTAGTCCCAGTGCTCTCCACAGGGCCTGGCTCAGTAATTGTTTGAATGAATGAACCAACATGTGTCTTTGATACAAACAGGGCAGGTATTTTGGGGCTCATTTTAGGGACGAGTAAACTGTAGTTCTGAGAAGTGAAGGGGCTTGTCCATATTCAAGTAGCCAGTAAGTGGCAGAGCCAAAACTTAAGACTTTTCACTTCTCCTCCAGTGGACTCAGAACTACACTGGCAAAAAATTTTAAAAATTAAAAAAAAGAAGGATGAGTATAGAAAACAAAAAAGAACTATACTGTCAGGGGGGCAGGGTATAGGGCATGCACGAGGTCCTGGGTTCACTCCCCCATACCTCCATTTAAATAACTAACTAAATAAATAAGCCTAATTACCTCCCCTATTCTCCTCCCCCACAAAAAAAGAACCTTCCTGGCATGGAGATAAACAAAACAGATATAACATGACCTGTGTCCCATCAAATGCCAACATATATGGTGCCCATGGAGTGCAGTGGGGAAGCACTATGTAGGTAGGGGGAGTTGTAGCAGGGCACCGAATCTGAGACCCTTTAAAAAAATCTTTGCTATATGTGTTTTCTCTCTCTTCAAGTCCTGTGACTTTTTATTTGAGATGATAGGTGTTGGTTGTTATTGATTTGTAAGAACTTTTAATATATTGAGGCTATTAACTCTTAGGCATATGAGTTGGCTTTAAAACATCATTTTTCAGAGATGGCTACCATGGATCTGGGGGGGCCAGGCAATGGCACATGTGCCACACAATGACCATGTTTATTGGGTTTAGGGATGTATGGTTTTTAATATTTGTGTAGTTAAATCTACCAAGATTTTCTTCTATAGCTTCTGCTGTAGTCATTTTCTTATTCTTCTTCCTCATTCCAAGCAGCTCCAGCCCTTTCCATTCAGGGAGCGTTAATTGAAGGTCAGCTATGGGTAAGGCCTAGATTTGCATTTAAGGGGTTTTGACCCCCTTGTAAGTTACCATCTGATAGGAGAAGGAAGTCATTGGAAATTCCAAGGCAGGGTAGACATACTAAGCACTGGCTGTAGGTTTGGGTGGGGGTAGGTGGGGAGAAAGTTGGCCCTTTTACCTTCTTTTCCATTTAATGTTTTGGGGGCAATTCTGCCTTGCCCTTCAAGACTCGGGCAAGCCAGAGCTGAAAAGGGTGAGATCGTCTAGTTTAGTGGCTTCCTGTCCACTGTTAATACCCTAGTTTGTTGGATGTGTCACCAATAATCTTCAAATGACTTCCTGTTTTATAAAATAAAATGGAGTCAAGGTTATCTTCTGGCACCACCCCAACCAGCCACTTCTTTACATTTATTCATTCATCAGACATTTAGAGAGGCCATGCTATCTGCCAGGCCCTGGGAATGTGGCAGTGAATAAAACAAACAAGGTCCCTGCCTTCTTGGGGCTTATGTTCATGTCAGGGAAACCATAATAAACAGATGAAGAAGTAAACAGGAGAATTTCAGGTTGAGGTATTGTAAGAAGTAGGGTGTTTGGGGACAGCATCTCTGAAGAGGTGACATACGAGCTGAGGTTGGAGGGTCTGAGGAACCAGGTATGGGAAGAGTTGGGGGAAGAATGTTCCAAGCAAAGGGAGCAGCAGGTACAAAAGCCAAGGAGCAGACAGGTGCTGGCATATTTGGGGATGAAAAAGTAACCCAGCGAGTCTGGCTTTGGGGCAGGTTAACGGGGACTACGACTCAGCGGTGAAGCCAGGTCATTAGAGCTGTTGCTCCCGGAACATTTCATGAGAACCAGAGACCTTATCTGTGTCTCTCTTTGCTCTTTCCTGATGTACTATAAATAGTTACTCACATGCTTAGTAATATGCAATTAGTACACCGCAAGGAAAAGAACCCACTGCCCTGTTTGCTCTGTATTTTGTGTTGTTCAGACTTGGGTGAAACTTGTGTAATGCCCTTGATGGTTTTGGCCATTTGTGTGCTGCAGTAGGAGCCAGTGTGGGGGGTAGACGGGCAGAGCGGGAAGAGGGAAGTCAGCTGTTCTGGAGTGAGCCTGCATTGTGCTCAGGAGAGCCAGCATGGGCAGAGCATAAGATGGAGCTGAATGACTGCTGTGAGAAGATGCTGGTGGCCTTGGCATAGGGTCCCCCACGTACCTCTTCTCCTACACGAATCATGGGGCAAATTGTCTGGGACGCCAGCCACTGCTAATGCTAGCCCATAGGGTGACTTTGTGCCAACTAGAAAAATGTCCCCCCTTCCTCTAGATGCTCTACTTCCATCCATTGGAAAATTGTTGCAATATTGTACCAGTTTTGTTAGGAAAAGCTACTTGACTGTTGTCATTATAAATATGTAAGTCTACAACGTGAATGACACCATTGGGTACTATGGGCCATGAATCATAGGTGGTGGCCCCACTGGGATGCCTGACTTTCCCTGATGGGCCTCCTCCCTCCTGCCCCATTGCCATCGTAACCTCCCTCTTTTTCTCTGTATCTTCTGGCAAGGTCCCGAAACTGGCCAGAGGCTCTGCACTGGTACAACACTGCCCTGGAGATGACAGACTGTGATGAGGGCGGTGAGTATGATGGGATGCAAGACGAGCCCCGGTACACGCTGCTGGCCAGGGAGGCCGAGATGCTGTTCACAGGCGGCTTCGGGCTGGAGAAGGACCCGCAGAGATCAGGTAGGTCCTGCATACCTGCCCTTGGGGTGGAACCAGGCTGGCTGCACAATGAGGGACATAATTCCTGTCTCACTGGGAATTATGGCAAGACGCAAGACTGAGTCTCTTCTTTCACTGCTGGTTGGGAGAAAGATTCATACTGTCCCTATATTTTGCCAGGCCGGATACCCATGTGGTGCTGGCTTAGAAGGGGGCTTTATGGGGCTGGTATGCAGATGAATATTTTTATTTTAATGCTCATATATTAGGTATTTGGGAGGTTTTTTTGCAATTAAAAAAATTGAGCTGACATTTATGTAACATAATATTCACCATTTTAAAACATACAGTTCAGTGAGTTTTAGTACATTCACAATGTTATGCAGCCATCATCACTATCTAATTCCAGAATATTTCCATCACACTGAAAAGAAATCTGGTGCCTGTTAGCAACGACTTCCTATTTCCCCCTCCTCTATCCCTGGCAACCACCAAGCCACTAACCTCCTTTCCATCTTTCTGGATTTACCTATTCTGGACATTTCACATAAATGGGATCATACAATATATGACCTTTTGCGTCTGGCTTCTTTCACTTAACATAATATTTTCAAGGTTCATCCATGTTGTAGCGTGTATCAGTATTTCTTTCCTTTTTATTGCCAAATAACATTCCGTTGTATAGCTACCACATTTTTATCCATTCATCAGGTGATGCACATGTTCATATATATAGATATATTGATATAGATTTATTTACTTACTTATTTTTATAACATGATAAACATTCTGAACTCCTGATTTCACAGGTATAGGATAAGACTGAGTTCAAAAGTACTTTTTAAGGTTGCATAACAAAATTAAGCAAATAATACTGCAAAATTTAAAATTTCTAAATCCAAAAAGCTCTGAAAAGCAAGTGTTTTTGTATGTTTTGCACAGATTCAATTGGTGGCAAAACCTGTCCAGAACTGACATGAGGTTGTTTGTGATCTTAATTATACTTGCTTTCTTCCACTTTCCTAAATCCAG